GGCACTTCAGTGGATTCAGAAAAAGTTTCTTCAACGCTGCGTACAGTTACAGAGTCCTCGGGCGGGAGCGAAGGCTAAACATTGCTGACCCTGGTTTCGGAAGATGGAATCATAGCAGCGGATGCAGATGTCACTAGTGACCGTTCTCGTCTGACGTATCGCGGCTTCCGAACTGAAACGGCGGGCACAGAAACATCATCATTAGCACCTGCTGCAGAAGCGTGCCTTTCTCATTCATTCATAGCGACACGCGCCCCCCAGCAGCCCCCGGGCGGCCAAACTCATTCTGCCCTTTAAATAAGCCAGAAAACCCCGCGCCCCTGCGCTGAGCTGAGGAAAAAAAGGCCACAAATACAGTATGCGTGTCCTATTGCCCTATTGTTTGGTGAAAGTCACGTTTAGACACTTCAAGCTTTATTAGGTTCTCATTGGCTCGCTGATCGCGTAAGAACAGTATGTGCTATTTCCCACAAGTAGCACAAATTTGGATGTCCACCAAAAAGCAAGTTTGGATTCCAAAGATTTGGTCTAAACCGGTGCGTTACAGTGCGAATCTCAAACAGCGATGTTTATAGGCTGAAACGTGGAAGAACCGTGGAGAAAACTGAGATGAGAACTGTATTGCTGATCGATTTTCACGCCAATTAAAATCCCACCTTGTCAAAACAGCCAACGTACAAACAACCCACTCGCCACACGCGCGCCAAACGCTACATCCCAAACAGTCTGTGCCACTTGTTTCAAGAAGCTGACGTGCTTCAGATCAGCGAGCCTGAAAACCAGCCAGCCTGCCACTGGAAAGAGGATTCCAGTCCTGAAACTGGGCTCCAGACTGCGCTGTTCTTCAAAACCCATTTCTTCCACCTACTTTCCTCTCAATGAGAATAAAAATAGATCTTTGATTTCTCTACAGCACAGTGCTGCATCAATACTGTGTGGCGGCGTTAATTAAAGCAATAAATCCCACCCAAAAGGGCTTCTGGACAGCAGATTTCTGTGCTCTTGACAGATTCCACAGTTCTACACTAGGCCTAAAAGTAATTGTTTTCACTTGCTGAGTATTCTTAGCGTAACTGCTTTGAGACATTGCTTCCCAGCAATGAAACGTGCAAGAGGGAGGCTAACAGGCAACATTTTGTTTGTAGCAGCGTGACCCATAGAACAGTCTCTCACCTGAAGTAGCTGGGGGAGGTATCATGGATGCCTGAGTAACAGGAGAAAAACAATTGTGTCAAAGAAAACACCTTGTTTCTTCAGTCTTATTAAAACAAACACAGGAACCTTGCGGGGTTCCAATTCCGTTTACTGCGAGCGCTGTCTTAGAGAAAGCAACTCATAATCCACACGGCCAGTATTCAGCTGTCACATTTTTTCTAGCTCAAAGAACCCAAACCATTTCGTTTTGTCTTGTTTCTCATAACAGATCAAGCAGCTCGCAAATGACTTGTTACTGTTTACTTGATGTTTTAGGCTTGCTTAGTCTCAGTGGAAAAACAAATCTTACTTACTGTTTCACTAGGCTGGAGAACAGACGCTAAAAGAGAAAGAAACCATCATTAATCCAGACCTGCTAGTGGTTTTATGTTAAATACATGCGTGCAACAGAATAGTTCCACTGATAAAAATTTCTGTCACAAAGACCCTCAGCACAGATTAGGACATCAGCAGACCACCCATGAGTAGGACGTATTGCAGTACTCTTTTTGAGGTTAAAGGGCTGCAAAGGTTTCCAAGAACGGCTCATTTTCCTCTCTTAGAAGGCAGCCCCGGCAGCATCTCTTTATGCTACAGAAGCTCCAACAGCAGAACAGCACCTTCAGCCAGTACCAGAAGAGCCTGGCACAGCGACACGCCGTTAACTCGCCACGGCTACGTGTGACATTCTTAGCCAAATAACTGAACCCATTGCTCCAGTCACCCCTCTCTTTTTTCCTCTTTTGAAAAATAAGAGGAAGCCTACTTGCTTAGTTGACCTAAACCAGAAACCGGCTTTCTGTTCAACAGAAGGAGCTCTAACATAGCAAATGCAGAGCTGGAGTTTGTCGTAAGGAAGATTCAAAGAGTTTGTGCCAAACAGGCAAGACGGAGGCGCCCCTTTTGAGTCCCAGCAGATCCTGCGTTCAGAGGGCAAACAGGAGACTGAGAAGCACAGTAACAAGAAACCTCTCACACTGTTCCCTTTCTCCTGCTGCTGACACATTCTCAGTAAACAGGATACCTTCAGCGCTACAGCTCAAGAACAAACAACTGCTTTTTGCACGGCTTGAAGCACCTGACATTGTGCATACTGAAATATACACGCTGTGCTAAAATGCTCTGTGTGCAAAAAGTCCCCACTGGACGCCTAACATTCAGTGACAGCTAACGCCTAGTACAACACTGAGTCTTTGCACGCTACAGAAAGCAACAGCTAGGTTAGTGAGACACTGTGTAATGTGCACCTAAGCACGCTCAGACTGAAGAGCTGTGAGCACACACCCCCTGCTCTGCAGTGAAAAACACGATGCTGTAAGCACATAGCAGGGAAAAGTTGTTATTCTGCATTGTCTCGGGGGAGCAAACCTTTTGAGATGTTTCTTGAGGCAATGACTTAGAAGTATTTTTTACCTTTGTTCCTTCTGTAGAAAACATTAGGAAGTTTATTGGCACGTTTGAGGTAGAAGAAAGAAGCGACAGACAGAATCAGGAATAAGCTGATGAAAAACGTCCCTAAGATGAGAGAAGCTGCCACTTCCGGACCCCCTGTAAAACACAAAGACAACACCAAAACAACTGCTCAGAGGAAAGCCCAATATCCACTACAAATCTCTTCTAACAGAAGGGTTAAACGAAGATAGGGCAAGATGAAAGAACCATTCAGTGAGATACAGTTACCTCAAAATTCAGCTCTGAGGCTTACAAAAGATTCCCGATGAAAGCTAGGCAGAACAAGTAAAAGGAGCTGCCACCTTTGGGATTAAATCTCTCTTCCAGGGGAAAAAAGAAGTACAACTTGCTCCAAATGCCACGTTTTGAAGGGCTTCGTATACAGCGAGGAGTTGTGAGGCCTACATCCCATCGTTATTCTCAACTACTCACCTATGTTCTGTATGAAAGGAGTTACAGTGCTTATATTCATCTGGAAATTCATCCCTCTGATACCAGCTGTAATTAAAAAAAAAAAAAGCTGTTCAAATGAAATCTGACGATGCATTCGTTGAAAAACTTTGGGAGAAGGTATTTATCAGCACTTATTTGAAATTATACAAGAATCCCAGTTTCTCCAATAAGTAAATCAGTTTTGAAAGCATTCTTACCACCACCTTGAGGAACTCCCAGAAAGGAAGCAAAAACCATTCGCCAGCGCATTTCTCATACCTTAGATCAAGTTTCTTATCTCCTTCACTACAATATTTGCAAGGGATCGGATGAATCTCACCTCTCAAAAGCCACAGGCACAAAACGAATCTGTCCTTCACAGTACAGACTTTCAGGAGCTCGAGCAGTGCCTGAGCTGTTTTGTCCCCTGGAAAAGCCCCCAGCGAGTGTCTTTTTTGACAGGAGAGATTAAAGCAAGCACAAAACTCGGTATCAAACAAGCATAGTCGATACAGGTCCTAGCCTGTAGGATTAATCATTTTCATGTTTCAAACTTAGTTTTAAGATCTGACATCGGGCCAAATTATCTTTTTTCTTCCTCTAAGCGTTGCGCTTTGTTTGACAAATTAGGTATTCCAATACAACATTTTGCATTCTTTACCCTTCTAGGTTCTGGAACGGTTCCACAGCGCTGCATAGTTTCTGTCAACTCAATTCCAAAGCTTCGGCAGCTTTTACTGCATGTTCAAAACCCCTGAGGTACGTTAGGGCTTCGGAAAAGGACGAAGTTTTACAAATGGTGCAAGAGACTTGGCAACACCTGATGTCTTCTTGAACGGTCTTCGTCGGACCGCATAAGCAAGGAGAAATCTTGTTAGCTAGAATAGCAGTATGAGAAATGACTCACTGTTTCTGCAATCAGTCAGATTGTAAACAGCAGCAACAGGAAGAGTTTCATTTTTGCACTTAATGCAGCTGCTACTCCCATCCTCGTTCCATCGTCTGTAACAACCTGCAGAAGAATAAGATGCACAGCGATGTGAAAACAAGACAAACAGCACCAGAGACGTTTCCTGATCTTCAGAAAGGGGCAGAGGTAACAAATCCCACACACCACGCAGGCTGCATTTCAGAGCACTTCTTCCAGAAAAGACACAACCTCTTAAGGAGCAAAAAAGAGAAAGTTACATTCCGGAAAAACTCCAAGAAGGAAATTTCAGCGTAGCTCAATTCACCGCTTCATTAGCTTGAAGATAAAAGGGATCCATCTGACAACCTGCAAGTACCTTCCACAACACTAAAAACGCAGCATCGTTCAGCCATTTCTTTTTAGAGGTCGTGCACTGCTACAACAGAACTTAATGCCACTGTTGCATAGAGCACAGCAAACAGAAACGGGCAGGGGCAAAGATGCTAAGGACCTGGCTGTGCTTGGACGAAAGAAGATGCTGGAGTTTCCACAGTCAGTCAACTGAAGAGTGACAAGCTCAAGGTAGGAGTGCTGCTGCGATCTAGCCCTTCTCCATGCCTCGGTGATCTCAGGTACTGCACTAACTGTTTCACTTTTAGAAGAACCCCAGCCTGTTTCAACTCTCCCGCAGCAGATGGTGAGTGTTTTATATCCGTCACCCCGCCACGCGGGCTGGAAACTGATTAAACTTTCATCTTCTATGACTTCAGTGTTCCAGCCTCTCGATTTATGTTTAAACACACGTCCTGCTACCTCTTTCATAAGAGGAAAAAAAAAAATATATAAAAAAATTTAGGGCGCATCTTCAATAACAACTTCATTTCATAAAATAAAGCTGCGGCGGTTTCACTTGAGGCTTAGACTCAAGACAGGAAGATTAGAAAGATATTCCTCCTGGATCATATTACAGTCTACATTTTGAAGCAAAAAACTTACTAGGCTGGCTAAAATCCAGCTCTCCAGAGCCTTGAGCCAAACTGGTATCAATTATCCCATAAAGCAAACCATTAGTACGGTGCTGATTTGAAAACAGCGTTGCTACTACGGTTTCCCTAGAGGGAAACAGCACATTTGATGCCCACAGCAATAAATTACATCTGACATTTAATCTAAATACAAACGGACCCAACGTAAGGGCACAGCCTTTCCATAGCAATAGGAAGGAAACATCAAAGTCTTCATCTGACACCAAAGATTTTGGTAGGTTATCCGTTTACAGGAAGACTTCAGAGATTGCAATCCCATAGCTTGGAGACTATGCTCATACCACGTCTAAAATCATTTAGGAGCAGAAATGAAGGTAGCAATGAAGCAACAGTTTAAGAACCTAACGAGGCAGTGAAATTAGATAGGCTTATAGAGCTTTAACAACCATCTGAACAGCCCAGAAAGGCACCTCAATTTTTAAATCACCAATTCTCTCGTTGCTGTGGGCTCTGAAGCCATTTTCTGTCTTTTACTCTGATTTTAAACACAGAGTACGCAGTATTAATAAAAAAACAGTACTCAATTTAGGGAAAAACATTAACTTAAATGGGACGAGAAGAACGAGGCGTTTTGTGCTAACAAGGCAACACCAAAACTGCTCTTGAACGCTACAACACACCGCAGCATTTTTGCTTTTTATGCCCCTTTTATGGACCTCCAAGTATCCAAAACAGCTCTTGCATAATCCAATTGCATGCTAAATAAAAAAGAAAGCATAAAACCTTATAGTCGTCTATTCTACTTACCGTGCAAGGACATTTCGTGCTTCTTATGACTCATATCCTGTACACATAAGGAGAAAGTTCACCTCGTTGTTTATTCTCTTTCCATTCCCCACTAAATCGGACGCTGTATGTTCACTGTCAAAAATAATCTGGGGTTTAATTAAGGAAAACCACACTATACCTGGGCTGCACTGGTTGGCTACTGGACAGGAACTGTTCGACTCCAACATATCCACACAACATTCTGTTTCTGAAACCTAAGAAAAAGAAAAATCATCGCAATGTATTTCCCCACGGTTTTCAAGGTTATACAAATACTGCAGTAAACATCCACAGAGAACACAGGGGACCAAACTTTTACACGAAGAAGCCATTTCAAAGCCTTTTTTCTCAGGACGTAGCGCTTGTTACACAAGTCTCAAACCAGCCGTGAGGACATCAGGGTTGGTGGGAAGCAGCAGAACAAGAGAAATATTCACAGTGACTGCTGCCATCGTAGCTGATCACATGGCACTGCTACAACTTCCTGTAACACAAGTGTTGAAGATCCACTTCTAGACAGTTTCCAGATGGCAATAGCCCACTGAGTTGCCCTTGTGCTGAAAGCAGAGGGAACGAGGCTGCTAAAAGTTGAGACAACAGGACACATTTTGAGGGCCAGTCCTTAAGTCCCCTCGTCCCGCTTCGTTGACCAGAGACCCACACAAAGTCCGAGCAGCCGTGCTGTGCCTCCTCTCCCTCGATCTTGAAGAGTTTGATACTGAAACCCTTCACCAAAGTTCTGTAGGACGTTGCCAACATCTATAACTACAACAGACCCACGGAAGAAAAATGCACCGTGTCAGCATTAGGCTGCCACTGCTGTCAGTAAAGAGGCAAAGGCGTTCTCGCACACACGGGAAATCCCAAAAAGAACTCAAAATAGAGACACGCTGTTAGCAACACGGCTGGCAAAAACCAGTTTTCACTGAACGCCCATATCGCAGCTGAAGATAACATCTACATATGGCAAAGCAATCAGCAGAGATGCAAAAGTTTCTTCCTTCAACATTTAGCATAAGAGTAACTTCACATATCCCGAAGGCAAGAAAAGCTTATTTTTTTCCCGTTGCTTTATATAAAAGCCAATTTCAAAATGATTTACAAATTACAACAAGCTGTGACATAAGCTTAGAGATAGATGGCTCTTATCAGCTCTGCAGTTCTTTTGGCAGAACGTTACTGACACTCTGTATAGGCTTGGGCACATCCACTCTCCGAGTTTGCGCAAGGAAAATAAGTCCAGTGCCTCTTCAACTTGCCTGGATACATTCCCTTGAAGCATACAGCAAGGCTAATCGGTCTTAAGAAGAGATGAAGTATTCTTGGTCAAAAGTAACTGGATCCGATCTGTATTCACACATACAAATAACCTGGATGTACCTAACGTAGAACAGTCAGCATTATTCTGCTCATGGGCAAAAATCCATCAAATCCAGGGGTGGCGAAGATCAAAGCTGTCAGCAGAAACGTTCGGGACATGAAAGTGTAATTAGAAGGCTGACTTAAAACTGTCAGCGCATCACAAGGGAGGTGAAGAGCCAGAAAACCTACAGATAACCTCCTGGAGACCAGTTTCCTACAAGGCACTGCTGGTAAAAATTCTCCCAAAAGCAGAATTTTGTGTCTGACCTTTTTCTGTGAAACAGAACTGGCTTCACAGCTCCACAGTCATTAGAAAACTTCTTGGTATCCGTAGTTTGGAGTTTCTGCAGTGGAACTACCTACCGTGCAGCTTGAAAAGTGTTGTCTCAATCATGGAGGTGTTTTTTTCCTCACATTGCAAAGCTTTGCCAGTTGCATTCCTGTGAGCCTACGGGCACACGACTGGCATGAATTTAACAGGCGCTCACAGCAAAGTCAACCCCCTGTCAACGCTTCAGTTAATGACCGCCAGCATCACTCATTTCTGTTTAATTACAAAGCCTTCAATAAACCACAACAGGAAGGGAAAATACACTGTTTCTTCTCGGTTTGACAGTCCCCAGCATGACAAAAACGCAAAGTACCTACCGAACTTTCAGTAGATTTGCTGGCAACTTCTGCTACAAGTCTGGTTAAGAGAAGGATGTACGGCACCTCCATGCCCAGGAAAGACAACAGTCTAAATAAGAACAAGGAAATGGATTGTTAATGACAGAAGTTAGGCTTTCCCTTTGCTAAGGAACTTTTGCCAGCACGCTCCTTTTATTCAAATACAAAGGCCTTTAAATTAAATATGCCAAGGGGAACGGCTTACCTTGGTGCAAGACAGAGATTTGAGACATTCAGAATTTTCCCTCCAGCTGCAGAAGGGCAGGCTCCTGGCTATGGCAGATCGTGGTTGCTAAGAAACAAGGAGCCTTATCAGTCTGCTCCAAACTGGGCCACGCAGAGACTGTTCCACACCCAGCATCTGAAAATCAACGTGATTGCAAGAGAACAGTTACTGCCTGGCACCACTGCTGATAAGCCTCCCCGCAGTCACAGGCTCCTCTGCCTGCAGCACTGAGCTGTGATGGATCCGTATCAGGGCAGAGAGCACACGCCACTCGAGAAGGCAATGCTGCAATTAATTTCGCCCATGACAGCGCAATCACGAAGCGTTGCTGAAGTCTATCTGCTAATAAGCCTTACTTCTCAACTGCCTAAAATCAGACCTCCGTGAGCAGACCGTGCCATCGGCTATCAGCCTTCCTCCCTCCCCCCCCCTCCATCCTTCTCATCCAACTGCACACAGCCTAAGCAAAGTCCACACTTCTTAGGTTGGGTTGTTAGGCTGAACTGCTGAGCCCTACGTCACGCTCCATCCGCATTGCTCAGACACTTCCTCTGTCTGTGCTACAGTGTCTGCCTGGTTTTTGCTCAATAGCGTGGGAAGCCACACCTCACAGCCAGCCTACCTGCAGCCTGGTGCCTTCAGAGTCTTTCCTGTTATAAATAACACATGGAAGCAGACGAGCTCCTCTAGCTAGAGCGTAACACGAGGAAAGAAAGCCTTTGGCTGTAGGGAAAAGCTCTCCAGTGAGTCATTTCCCCAACTATTTTTGCTAAATAAAACTCCAGTGGATGAATTTCAAATTACTCTAAAAGACATTATCACAACCCTTGGCAAGCTGCTTCTCTGAAAAACAGAATCACTGAATGGTTCCTACGATTAACTTCCACTCTGCTCCTGGAAAAAAGCGTGTGCACAGAACCTGCGGCCTCAAATTCACAGCAAAAACAGTTCAGCTTAGTGGGAAAACGTATGGCTACCCTCTGTTATCAGCTAAAAGCTCCAAGACCAAGGGCTGACAATCCCAAAAACCACACTCCAGTGTTACTGCTACAAGTCATTTGTATGGCTAATGAGGATTTGGACAGAGCAGGAAGAGCTCGCACTGCCACGGATCCTTTTCCATTTAAGCATAACAAGGATGGAGATACGACTCCCAGATCAGTGCCCCGAAGCACAGATGTTACCTTTCTAAGCAGTTGCAGTGGGGACAAGACACCTCACACCAACACCTGCCTTAACAAAGAAGGTGAATTCACCTCAGAAGATGAAAGGAGCAGCTTTCCACAGCGCAGCACGTAGCTCTAGAAGCCAAGAACACCTTGCTCACAGCTCTGTAGGGAACACTCTCTTCCTCAGCACATTTCAACTGAACAGAAGCTACTTGTGACCCAGCAAAGGTCTAACATCAAGGCAGTCTCGAGGACGTGCGTGTGGATGGACGTATTTTAAACAAGCACGCTCACAAAGCTTGCCTGACTGCCTCTCTTCAAAAATCAGACGTTGCTGCTTCTCTTCTGGGGAGGATCATCACAGTCAGTAAAGACATTTGTTGATGAATTTGTCATGCCTTTGGAAACTGCATGGATTTTTTTGTCAATACCTGATCTGTAAGCACTAGAGAAACAGAGACGAACAAGGCATTTGTTTAAACAAGTATATTCTTGTTATCTAGAAAAACACTTAACTTCAGGAACACCTTGTGCTAAACAAGAAAACACTTGGGAAACTGGCCACTGCTAAGAGCCTGATCCTCCTCTTCACAAAAGCTCGACACGGGCTGCATCTGCACTCCTCCAATAAATTAAGATGATAATCAACAACACTGTTGCATTTACGGGCAGTCACTCCCAGCCACTACCGAATGTAACAAACTGGAACATATGTCCTGCAGCTGTTCCAGCAGAACTAGGTCACTGGATCTATTTGCTCTCAAATCATCAGCAACTTAATTTCTTTCATTACATGTCTGTGAGAGAGACACACGCTATGTGAACTTTATATACACACCACTGAACCAGCTTCGGAGGCGTGAAAGCAGACGAGCAAATTGCTTTCAAACTCCCAAACCCATCAGACTTCCATTGACTCAATTTACGTTTCGCTCCGAGCTCCAGAACCACTTGTTCACATCCTGCAGGGCTCTTTTTCTGCCAGCGAAATATTAAAGAACATCTGTCTGAATGTGGAGGGGTGGAAATCAAGCCATGAAGGCAATACTGGATATCTACTTGTTGGTTTAGGTTTGCACCCATCGACGGTGCTAAGCATCCTTATTCTTCACTTGTAATAATGTGGAAAAAAAAGCACACAGCTTTTTTGAAGAACAAAGTAAGTGCAGTACTTCCAATCGAGACAGCGACGTTCAGCAGGGATTTGGACTGTTCATTGGTCTTCACTTGCAAAACTGCAGAACTAATAACTCATTTTATTGCTTTCCAGCCACCAGTCAATCAGAACTGCTCCGTTAGCGACCTGAACTGCATTTTGTGCCACAACTTTATTCTTTTTAGAAAGGGAAAAGCCCTACAGATTTTAAGACTTCCAGCACACACTCTGACTAACCGTGGCTCAGGATGAGGTAGCTGTGTATTTAAATTAAACGAGAGCTTGATCAGGATGCGACACCCACAGCAAAACAATTTACAAACTCAAGGAATACGTTTTACGTTTGGCAGCGTTTTCTCTTTGGAGTAAGGAAAAAAAAAAAAAGATAATGTCACGCACAAGCTGGAGCCCAAATTAGAATGTATTTATGCTTGAGACGCCAACACAGTTAGGAGAACACAGACATTTTAATTAAAACTAGTATTTCACACCAGAACTCCACGTTTGAAAGAAATCTCAAGTTGCTGTCAGCTCGGATCTCAAGTGACACAACACGCATAAGCAGAACACGTCAACATTCACTGAGTAAATTCTTCCTCTCGCTGCCTTTACAAAAAAAAAGGCAAGCAACTCACGATAAATACTACGCATTTGAATGCTTTCCTCCCACTCCTGGAATCGAGCGCCCTTTAATTGAACTTTGAGTCTACATTCTGCATGCATACAGCTTTGCATCTCTCACCTCTGTTGCCCCGCCTGCTGCTGGAGCACTGCGTCAGGGTATTCCTTCAGCTACATGGAAAAAACCTGCAGCAACACATTGCTAAATTTCAGGTTGTTTTACAATTAGATCAACAGATGGAAGCGGAAAACAACATCACCCCCATTCCACCGCTTGTTACGCTCTGCCAGGACCTCGATTTGGCCGCAATCAAAGTGGTATCAGAGAGAAATTAAAAGGCAGACTCACGGAGCACAGCCTGCAGACTCCTGGGCTCCTCTCAGCAGCACTGCAGCTCCCCAGGGCCACGCTGGAGGCGGACGGTGTGCAGCTGACTGCTAATTTCCCATTGACACCGTCTCACAGAGGATCTGAGCAGTAGAACAGCTGCCAGTTAGGGTTAGAAAATACCTCGTGGAAACGAGAGCTGAAGTGGGACTTGTTTTTCCAGCTCTCTTAGCATACACCTGCAAAGAGACCCACCACCCCTGCCCTCCTAAATGACTTTACAGCAATTAACGCCACACGCTGCACGAGGCAGCGAGGCTCTCCGCTCCAGCCTCGGCTCCCTTACACCTCTACGAGCACCCGGAGCACGCCGACACCGTTGTTTACGGCCGTTCGGCCAGCAGACAGGATCGCAGCCTGTTATTATAGCGGGCTTTACGGTCTCACCGCGTAAAGAAACGACGACAGGAGCAATTCGGCCCCGCGGCCCGCAGCACGCAGCGCACACAGGCAGGGCCGGGCCTGGGCCGCGCCCCGGGGCCTCTCCCCCCACACCTGCCCGAACAACGCGGCTCCTCCCGCGGGCTCCCCTCGCCCTCAGCCGCCGATCCCGCGCCCTCCCGCCCCAGAGGATCCCCGTCACCCCCTGCAGATCTCTCCCCACCTGAGGAAGCGTCCTCCGGCAGCACCGCCGGCAGGTTCCCGTTCGTACCCCCCGCCCTCAGGCGGCGCCCTGCCCGCTCCTTCCCGCGGCGCCCTGGGACTTGTAGTTCTCCCGTCTCTCGCCGGCCCTAGGGGTGCGGCGAACGCACCGCCGCTCCGAACTACAGGTCCCAGCATGCACCGCGCCGAGCCCTACCTGAGCCCTCCTCCTCTCAGGTAAATCCCCTCCCTCAGCCCGCTCCCGCAGCGCCTTCGCCGGCGCCGCTCTGCTGCGCGCGGTGCCTCATGGGAAAGGGAGTCCCGCGCCTCCCGTCACGCCGAGGAAAGGGCGGGTTCCGGCACTACAACTCCCAGTGTGCACCGCGCGGGCGCCGCCATTTTGGGCGTTGCTGGGCGACGCGGACGCCCCAGGAGGAATGGCGGGGGGAGGGGACTGAGGCGCTGAGAGGGGAGTTGGTCACCGAGGGAGAAGTGCCGAAGGGCAGGGGCACGTCCACCTGAGCCTTCTGCTCTACGGGAGTTACTGTGACAAAACGACTGAATGAAGTAGATCTAGTCCCTCCTTGTTGCCACTGCAGTCCTCCCAAATGACGTTTCTGCTCACGAGCACGTATTTCTCCGGCACGAATGAGGACATAAATGTGGCTCAGGCACATGTGGCTCAGGCAGATTTCTGTACTGACTTTTCCGATCTGACAGCAGGGAAAAAGTGGGAGATTGTGGAAACTTTCATTGTTTGCGTGAGCAAATGTGAGCTACCGTGACAATTAACCTCATCCAGACACACGATTCATAAATTCTTCTCAGATGCTGTCTCCTGTACCTCAATACTGCTTTCAGTTCAACACAGTAGGAATTAATTCAGTGCCGTAAGAATTATTTTAATCCAGTGTTGCTAGTGGTTGCCTGGCTTTCAGCTGTCGGTTGAGGCAGCCACCAAGATTTCCCCTATTGGGCGGAGAAGCAAGCTGGCCCAGCTGCTTGAGGAAGGATGCTTTGGTAGCTTTGGTGATGGGGACAAAGCCGAAGGTTACTGTAGAAAGCCGCAGTGCTTGGAGCACAGTCTATTTCTCATTGACCAGCGACATTCCTCAGTGAATACCCTATCCTTAAGGAGGAGCTTGAAAAATGGAATCGTATGGAGCAAACACAATCTGTGCCCATACTGACAAGTTTCCCCAGATCTGCACTATTCTACCTCTAGTAAATTAAAGCATTGCTTCTTACGTGTACTCAATTCTATTCAGACTTCCCCAAATTAGTTGTAATCTTTAATCTCCTTCTCTGGAATGGCACTTTTCAGCTGCTTGCCTCTGTCCCACATATCAGGGTTTCTCTTTACTAAGCAAGAAGCGCTCATTTCGCAGTGACGGTTTTGAAGGTCTGGTTCTGATCAAAGCAGTAACAGGATGGCTTAAGCATTTTCTCTTTCACGTCAGCTTTAAAGCGTAGAAGTCTACTGCTAGATTTGCATTAATATTAAGGACAAGCCTAAAAGCTTTCTGCCTTTAAGAAGAATATACATGTTCTTTGTAAAAAATTTAACAGGATTCAAACAATTCGTACCAGATGGTAAACAATACTCCATTCCACAAATACATTTGCTCATCTGTACTTTTCCTGGAAGATTACCTGGGTGAGACACAGCAAGGCACTCAAGCAGAATGTTATAGCTGCGGAGCGGATCTGACCTACATAGCAGAAGTAGAAGCATCAGTTGGCTTGTCGGGAGAATCACAGCCAGCAATTGACACGATTTCATGGTCTGCTAATCCAGTGGCAATATTTCTGTTAAGTGGGAAAACAGCTCGATGTATCACCGATATATATGGCAGCCCTTTGGGAGAGCTGTGTTTCCAATGGTATCGGATGGATGGGGCAGGTTTTACAGTTAGCACCCTGGGCATACCCAGCCGTTCTTTAAGCAAGAAATACAAAGAGGACTCCCTTCTCATCGTCTGGGTCGTGGGAGGAAAGACCTATTGAGAAGCACCTCTCAGCCAAGCCAAGAGATATTCAAATGTTGGCCCTCTGAACTAAAATACATGGGGGTATCTGCTGCCATGCGTGGTGCTCCTATCCAGCAAAAGTCTTTGAGTGGGTAAATTGAAAGGGGGTTATTCCAGGGCAGTTTTCATGGATAGCTTGAATTGAATGTACTACCACCAAAGCAACGTGTTCTACTATTTCTTTTAAGGAGGGATTTCAATACCACCAGAACAAACACGTGCAGCGCTTCACTTACCAGCTTTGTTTTAGTTGTAAGTTCCCTTTCCACGTTTTTTCCCCTCGAGGTTGTGCTCTGGGATGGAAACTGAAATTGCTTTTTATGAAAAACCCTGAAAGTTCATGCAGGAGATTGTGGGAATACAAGAAAAACTGTTCAGAGCAGAAGCTGTGGAGCAAGATAAACAGCAGGAGATGTTCCAGATTTCAGAACAGCAGAACAGATGGGCACGATGGCTCTTTGGTTTAGAGCAGGGGATAAGAGAAATGCTTCACACACAGCCTGATGATGATCAGAAGACATTACAGATGCTGGGATGGTTCTTCTGGCCAAGCTTGCTACCGATTCTGATAGAAGAACTCACATCCAAATTCACCCCATATTATTTTCCTGCCTATGCTGTCTTAAAAGTACCTTAGATGTGCAATTGAAAAGAGAATTGGGATGATTTCTGACGTTTCTATTAGCTAAACCTTTCAATGCTCTGCAAATTGCATTTGTGCAACTGTAGATGTGGTTCTTCTCTCCCTAGGTGTTCGTCCTTTGTAATGTAACAAAGCCTTCCTATGCAAGAAATGCGAAGTGGAAAAACATAAATATTCATCATTCTTAATGAACCATTTATTTCCGCACGCTTAGTGGAAGGTAAATTTACCAAATATGCATAGCTAAATGAATTAGTCCTAATAAGGTTTAAATCTTGTTCAATTTCTGAGGCTTAGTCAACATTTTCCATACATTTCTCAGCCGAGAGCAAGGGAGGGAGGGCAAAGAGGTGAGGAGGGAGAAACCAAAATGACTCCCGAGGCTGTTGGTGCGAGAACAAAGATCCAGCATCGACTGTATAAATAAACATGAGAGCGTATGAAAGTGGTAATGATTCTCGTAATATACAGCTTTAATTACTACCACGTTGAGAAGAAATCCTCAGCAATGGATTGACTTCTTCTCGGGCTTTATTAAAAAGTGAATTGCATTCCGCAGTGCAGAGCTCGTATTCCTGAGCAATCCTCCCTTTCTGAACACACAGCGTCGTAAAAACACATCCACAAAAAGCAGGAAAAAATCGGTCCTTCCAGTTGGTGAAGTGTGTGGTCACACACACGTAGAAACTCATCTTTCCTTTTGCACCGCGGAATGAGATGCTGGGCAGCCCAGGCACATCTGAGCCCTTATCACAGCAGCACAACCTAAGAAGTGCTGGGGGAAATCCGCTCTCCTCACCTGGAGAGCTTCATTATCTGGGAGATGCGAGCGGCTGCGTTTCCTTGCTGCCGTGTGCGTGGGCACAGCTCAGTGCAATCCTCCTTTATCGGGGCCTTTTTCAGGTTTTCCGTTCACAGAAGGATTGCTGAGCCACGGAATTATCAGCTCCCAGCTCAGTACTTACAGAGCGTGCAAGGAGAGCACCGAGCAAGCATGGCTGTGGCGTTCATCGCCAGCGCCCAAGAGAAAAGCCAAGCAAAGAATAAACCAAGAAACAACAAAACCCCCGCTTCCTCAGCGTTCAAGAGATGGATTGTTTCTGAGAGAAGGGAAAAAAATAAGCTACAGCAAAGGAAGCAACAAGGAAACAGCTTTGCGCAACAGGATTTCCTGCCAGGACCTTTGGGTCACAGCCACTGGATGGGGTGGTCCTGGGGCTCCCTGCTCGCTGACTGTGGGGTTTCTTGCCATTTATGGGGCTGTCCCTGGGGGCTCAGGTTGGCAATTTTGTAAATATCTTTCTCATACTCAGGAAATTCACGGCATACTTCAAAAGGCACGCACGGATCTGCAGGAGGAGGAAGGAGCCTGGTGTGGTTTTTTATTGCTTTTATGAAAGTAAATAGCTGCCATAGTTTGGGGGACTGGCAGCGCATGACCCACAGCCTCACGTCTCTATCTCTGGATCTCTCCATGAACGCCGAGGGCAATTTTCTCTTGGCTGTTCTCACAGCTGAAAGCTTAGCAGAACTCGCCTAGTAAAAGCTATTACCACTTTGTACAAAGCCTTGCTTTTGTGTTCCCTACAAATTCAACTTCAAGCTGTCATCTCGAATAACAGGGGAAATCCATTGGCTACTGTAAAACTTATATTTTGATTTTAAATGAGTCCAGCTTGTGGCAAGAAAGGCTCATAGAGAACGACCAGCTCGCCAGGTCCAGCCGCACAACACACGTGCCAGCCTGTCAGGTAACACGTCCACGGGCACCTAAATTGTAATTCCAACTGTCCTTCTCCCAGCTTCCACCATATCAATGGCATATCTCCATCTCACCAAGGAAAAAGCATGAAGAAAGAAGAAAAAGAAACCCTTGCTAGCATTGGGCTTGCCTATTTATACTGCAGTCCTCCCAAATTAACACCTACTCAGCGGGCAGGGCTCCAGCAGCACGCTGATCAGAGCTCTGATCTGGAGCGGGTTTAACTCTCTGCTTGCCTTATATGTAGCAGAAGATAGAACAACTTCTTTCCTTTTCCCTCCTTCACTTTTATTTAGCAGCTATTTCACGTCATTCCGTGCCTCCAGTTTTCTGGGTCCCGAAGTAATGTGTCATCCGACACGGAGGCATCCAAGGCCAGGTTGGATGGGATCCTGGGCAGCTTGATTTAATGGTTGGCAAACCTGCCCGTGGCAGTGAGGTTGGAACTGGGTGATCTTTAAGGACCCCTCCAACCTAAGCTACCCTGTGATGCTATGATCCTTTCAGAGTCCAGAAGCACTGTGCCATTGTTAATGGGTTGATGGCTGGACTGATGGGTTAATGGTCAGACTGGATGATCTCAGCAATCTTTTCCAACCTTAACGATTCTCTGATTCAATCCTTGAATGTAGCAGTGTTTAAATTGGATT